AAATCCCTTAGTAAAAGAAAAGGAAAATATGCAAACATTACACGATTAAATTTCCTTAAATTTTGATCCAAAAATTTCTTATCGAAAAAGAGATAATAACTGAGAGACAAAAATAGATGATTAAAAAAAGTATAGTATTATAAATCGTTAAACTATTGCTAGTGGTTTACAGTTTGCTTGGTTATTTTTAAAATGCTTCTTAACATTTCATATTTCAGCAAAGATAATGAAAAAAGAAAAAAGAGAAATGTAGAGGAAGTAGAAATATAAGGCATTTCATAGCAAATAATAACAAATAATCGTTCTGTTCAGGAAGCAAATGAAAATCTATTTATAACACATAATTTTCAAAATTTAAGAAGACAAAGGGATATATGTTTTCTGTTCATTATAAGTGAAACATATAATCTTACAAAATTGAGGACAAATATGAAATGATAGTAAAACAGTTCTTTTCGAATAGAAAAATGATTTCATTTGTTTATTCTCCAAAACCTGTAATGCTACGATTGTCGGAAAATCCGAAATTTTGTAATAAAATTATTCACATGGATTGAGAATTATGTCACTGATGGTTAAGCTAAAAGAGCTGCGCTTCACAATTTTGAACTTTTGTTAAAATTTATTTCTTGTAATATGACCTCTTTGTTTCAGTATCATATCATTGAGAGAGATAGCAGACTTTACCATGCGTATCCTTTGATTGTCCTTTGTCTCTTACGTGAAAAAAATATAGCTAACAAGTAATCATAATCGTACAATCTTTCTTTTCCCATTATATACTATCCTGATATCGTCCAATACAAATATTCATATCATGGCTCTTTTTGCATTCTTTCTTCATTTTTCAATATTCATACGCATATTTATCACTGCTAACAATTATTATTATTATATATTTTGCTGTCTGTTTCATTTGTTGATGCATTTTATCTGTTGAATTATTGGGTAAAATTCTCAACTGTAAAATAAATCTTAACAAATAATTTGCCTGTGAATCAAATTAATCAATTTCACAACAATAACTGATCGGAACATGCTGTTTCCGATCATGGAATACGCATTTGAAATATTGAATTGAGCATATCGAAAGTCATTTTGACGATATAAAAATAACGCCACATAGAGGGAATTATTCATCAGCCAGATCACGATTTACCAAGTTATTGTAGAGGAATCCATCAAGAAAAGTAATATATTCCAGAGTTAATCGATACTACCACAGGTCATTCTTTCAGTATATACAGTGTGGAAGAGTTATTTTCTTGGGGATTTTAAAACCAAAAGGTCCCTATCTTATTTAAATAAGTATTTAATTATAATAGTTGTGATGAAAAGAAATGCAATTAGAAATAAAATGTTCATTTATTTAAAATAATAAATTACTTATCATAACTTACATGCAAAAATTGGGTATTTGTCGAGTTGGTTCAGTTAAACTCGCAACGACACTAGAAATTACCGCAATGATAGTAAATGATATATTGTGCGGCAATTAATAAACAGTTTGTAAATATTCGTGTACTGTAAATATAGTATTACAGATACCTTAATTACTACAAATTTTACACGGATATTTAGCTGAATTATTTATGAAAAGAACAACACAATTGTTCATATTTTTAGAATTAATGTATTTGCTGGAAATCGGTTTTTTTTTTTGCTTGAATTTAAACAAATGAATACATGTGATGAGGAGTGTAATTCAATTATAGCACGATGAGAAATAAAATCGTTCGATATAAATCTTACATATATTTAATACATTTAAACATACAATGCAAATTATTTTCAGCATTTTTTAAGAAATGAATTTTCCTACAATACTTTACCTCCTTTTGTACTGTTGCATCTTCAATAACTAACAATTCTATTTTGCCGATTATGCATATACTGCGCTTTGGACGGTTATTACTCAATGCATTTAAAAAAAAAAAAAAAAAAGAAAAAATAATATTCCTCACCTAAAAATTCCTTATCAAACAAATAAATGGTAGGTTCTTTTCAAAGTAAAAACATAAAAAAGACATGAAAGCTATTGTTTAAAATGAGAAAATTTTTTTATTCATTTGAGAATTTATTTATAAAAACAAATTCATGCAATGTACATGTACATACGTAATTATTTTCAGTAGTTTTAAATTTCAAGCAAATAAACTTTGCATGTCTTAATGCATGCTATTAATTAAAATAAAATAAATACAGATATAAAAGATTTGAATGATTCTTAAAAATGAATGAATTGTCGACAGAGCTCCAACAGCAATGAAGCATTCAAACTTTTTTCTTGGGCAAATAATATGGAGGTGATTAGTTTCAGAGTCCAATTGAAAATATTTATCATTTGAGATATAAAATTATTCATATATTGTCTAGAAAATTTATGACTTTCTATGATATTGGATTCCAGTAATCCTTTGCATTTAAATTTTTAAAATTTATGTTCTCCACAACTTGGAAATACTCTTGCTTGGATGCAGTTTGATTAGAAAATGGTCTAAAACGGGGGATTAAATGAGTTCCTTCTTAATTTTTTGTAGGCCTATATCGTTTTTAAATTTAAAAGTTTTATATCCAATGACTGTGAATTTCAAACAAGCCAAATTTTGCATATTTTAATATCTACTGTAATTAAGAATGTCATGAATGACGCCTTTTAGACTTTTATTATAGATCGCATATATTCAAAAATTTTGTGCATGCAGAACACTTAAGAAAAATAGTTCAATAATTATCACTGGAAAAGTTACTTACTGGAAAAATTTATGCAATATGACATTTTCAGAAAATATCACTTAACTTGCGGAAAAGTCCATCGTATACAGTAGTTTTGTTGATTCTATTAGCTATTTTAAAAATCACTTCTTCTAGCTCATCTTTTCCTATCAATGGAGACTACTGTTGCTGAAGCAATAAATAAACATATGAACATCACTGTAACCGAAGAACATTTGATATCAGAATTCGTCAACTATTTTTTACGTACGTATGCATACTTGATTATCGGCGTATTGCTCGTAGTGGTCAATATCCCTATCTCTCTAATTGTGATAACAAATAAAGCACTCAGGTCAGTTGAATTTATCTCAGAAAGATATTATGAAAATAAGCATTGAATTTTGTATGATGAACACAGTTTTATCATCAGAAAGACTAAGCTAAGCATTTTAAAGCTGTCAATTCGAATATGAAAAATCTCTCAAAAATAGTGCACGGATAAGAGATGATGAGGTTTTCAGGAGCTCTTACTTAGTTCTTGCGGTTATTTTCCTTAACAGTGGATTTATGGGGATCAGTTCGATATTACTTGGAGTGAAACGATTAATTGATACTGTTGATGGAGAGCGATGTATCGATCATCACAAATGCGTCCTCAATGTTCGTTCATTTTTTCAAAAAGCATAATGCAATCGTTTTCTCACACAACAACAAATTTCAAAGAAAAAGAAAAAGCGATAGAAAACTTTAATACGGCA